GGATATACAGTGAAGTTTATGATGACATAAATAAATCACAAAGCTAAGCACTAGGGAAAAAAAAACAGTAGCACATTTAGGCATACAATGCATTCTTATTAAAATTCTGAGTTTTAAGCCTTATTAATTGAAACCACTCCCACTGCATTTTCCCCTTTTATAGGGCACTTACTATGCTATGTGAGTTTCATATCTTTCTTCTTATATTCAGCACAAATACACATACTAAAAAAGCTTTGGTTTGGTCCCTGTTTTGTTTCTGGCTTTCTTTGTTTGTGACAGAGGAAAAACACACCTGGACTCTAGCTTTGTCTTCTTAAGTTACCCGTGTGTATCTTGTGATCTGTGATGAATCATTCCTATGACCTGTCATGCATATCTTGCCAGCAGTCTGCATTCTGCTATGAATGGTTCTGTTAGTAAAGCACATAGCCTGCAGGAGGAAGCTAGGTGTTGCACATCTTTGAATACAAATGTCCACAGAGATGCACCTTTTTTTGTGCAGCCATCACTGTACATATTACTAGTCTCTCTTTTACCTGGTGTTTCTTCTACACAAGTGTAGAATCCATACTCTGACCTAGAAGGTTTGGTTGTAAATGTGTGCATACCGCAATGCCGGCTGCTCCTTGGTGGATGATCTTGGGCAAGTCACATCTGAGTGCTTCAGTTTCCCCAACTGGGAAAAAAGGGGCAACGATGTTGAACTATTAAGGCTCCTCAGTAGCCAGAGTGGTAATAGAGCTCAAGTATTTGTCTCCATGCCCTCGGCCTAACTCATGAACTCTCCCTTAGGTAGCTTGTTTCAGAATTGAGTGAAAGAGACTTTTCAAACACCACAAGAGTGAATCTATTTTTTTGTTCAAAATTTTCAATGAAAACTGAATTTTCAGAAGTGGTTTATATTTAGGGGTTGGTTCAGGAACTCTAAACCAGACAAAAGTCACCAGGGAGGAAAAATCCCACCTTGTAAATTTATTTTTAACAATCGCCTAGCCGTAGTAACCACACACTTAGCCAGTACATTATGTACACACAGTTGTCTTATTGTTTTGTTGCAAATAACTTCATTCTGGATCCAGAGGCAGGTGGTAAGGTGGGGAAATGTTGAATCAGGCTCTAACTTGATGGACAGTTACCAGCAGAAGTCAAACAAAGGCAAAGCAGTCTTGGCATTCTGATCCTGGCCAGCCTCTTTCTCCAATTATGGCTCTTCTAGTTGCAAATCTGTGTAGAGAGTCTGTCTCTGCTGTGCTTATCTGCCAGCTGTCATTTCAGTGTTGCTTCTACAGTAGAACTGCAAAGAGCTCTGAAATTCAGTACATGCTACAATAGTACATCAACGAAAACAAAGCATGTTTAGAACTCTCATTTTCCTCCGTTTCATGTCTATGTATTTAACAGCAAAAAAAAAAAGTTTATTTATTTTTTTTTTTTTGCACAGTTGTGGAAATAACCTTTCCAACATGAGCCAAGTGAAACCCAATGTAGTGTTGTCTTCATGAATTCACAGACTGGCAGATTCAGTGCATCTAGGGCTGCTCAGAACTTTTCAGAGCTGTAGTAGGGTGAAAAAAATCTGTGAGCAACAGTGAAACTCACATTAGTTTCACTCTTGTTGCCAGATGGGGATGGGGGGAGGATTCCCCTGGGTGCCAGTCTCTGTACAGCAGCAGTCCATCAATGGGAGCCTTTTGTGCATTTAAACGTGCTTCAGCATCAGACAAGCCGGAGGTATGTTGACAGAACAATGTTTTGTTTTTTGTTTTGTTTTGCAATCACCTTGAATTCGTTTGAATTAAAGTTGCTAAGGGATGAGAAACTATAGTATGTCCTAAATATAGGTATGTCTTAATTTGCTTGATTGGCACCCGTGTTTGCCTAGCCTGGGTCTAGGCAGCCATACTGCAAAGTGGCACTACAGTTACTGTGTCCTCGCTGGTGCTCCACTCACCTGTGTCTTGCTAAGACTTCTGGGGGCATATCCCATGGTTCTCAGTGCTGCAGTAAGCTAAGCAGCCCTATGACTCTTTCCTAGTGAATTGTGGAAGAACTTGCCTGTCTCTCTGGGCACCCAGGGTGAATTGTGGGAAGGCATTGGAGGACTTTTGCCTCTCAGTTAATCTAGCCTGTGTCCTCGCTGCCAAGCGGATGTGGTGTCAGTCTCAGGCTTTAGCCTATGGCCATAGACAAGCCAACTTGGGTTCAAAGCATCACCAAAATCCGGGATGTGGCTTTTGTATGTGTGGTTGGCGGCGGGGGAATGAGGGGCAACACCTGAAGAAGAGCCCAGGTTAACTCTGCAGTGAAGAGGGACTCAAGGTGGGACTTGAGTTAGTTCAAGGACTTCAGGTATCATTTTTTCATACAAATGCCAAGTTTAAAATATTTTGTAGTGAATGGGCCAATGATTTAGATCAAATACCTAGGGCCTAATGTGGCTGTGAGGGAGGTAACCTTTCTTGAACCATATGTGGCCACAGTAGTGCTCCCGAGATGCTGAGCCTCAGTGCAGGGTGGAGAGAGAGCAGAGGCTGTGTGCCTGTGTGGGTTTGACTCACTTTTGCAGAAAATTGACTGAAAGAATGACTGGAATCGTGAAGTTTATATAAAATTTATTTCTCATGAGTCCTTATTCTAGCCAGATCCCTGAACTTCTACTTGATCCCTAAAGTTAGGTGTCACCTCCCTCTAGCTTAGAACTGGATGGGGCTTCCTGTAGGAGCCATCAGTGCCTCTGTCTAGGTTAGTCAGAGGGACACTCCACATTTCCCTGCGTTGGGTTCACTGCTTCTCTAGTGCTTGCAGTTGCTAGGGAAGACACTAAGAAAATGAGGCCAGAAATTGAAACCAGGGTATGCCCTAGTTATTTATTTTCCATTAATAGTTTACACTCTAAAGATTTGGCTGTTAGTAAGTTTGTAGTCTATTAAAAGTTGTTATACTACTTAAGTCCTATAGCACCAAACCCTTAAATGGGTCATCTGAATAGATCCCTGTGTCTGTAAAACCATGAGAGTGAGTGTCAACTGGCTGGCTGCTAGGAGTACAAAGTCATTCTGGACCTTATTGGAAAAATAATTTTAAAGTGACCGCTCTAAAATAAGTGAAAGACACTTACAGTTTGCAAACAATAAAATAATTGGAGAAAGTAACAAAGACCATTCTTGAGGTCCATGTGATTAATCTTTTTTTCCCCCTCTCCAGTTGATAAATTTACATAAAAGCTAAATTCACATTGATGTCCATATAGGCATTATTTATAAATTGTATCTGAATTGGACAGACCCCTTCCTGATTGTCACTAACCCACTTCCACTCTTAGCTAAATATAATCTACAGCTGAATGAGTTCCTCCTGCCTATATCTAAGAAGATCCCAGAACACCTTTGATAAAAATCACTCTGCCAAAAACAAGTTTAACATTATTGTTCATGCAGAACGTTAACTGCCTTGGAAGATGGACTTAATCTTCCTCTGTTGCGAAAGCACTAGGGGAAATCTGCACATAAAGCAATCCAGGGAGAGGGGAGAAGAACCTAGTAATCTAGAGTTAACTTTTCATTCCACTTTTTGCATATTCATTTTGAAGCCTAGGCAAATGGTAATTTTTTTAAAAAAAGCACCAGGGTGAACTTTAGTATCTATAAACTTCTCATCTTCCTTTTGGACCTTCATTGTCTCTACAGATCTGAGGGTGATGAAGGTCACAAAGCCCCTCATAGAGTCTAAAGTTTATGCTCAATGCCTTGAAGCCATGACTGTAAAACAGCACCAGTGCATGTATAATGTTTGTGTCATGAATGAATGCTGCTGTAAAATATTAGATTCATATCCAGATCTCCACAGTTAGATAGATAGCACCTGAAAACTGATATGGGAGATCCCCTAGCTTTGCTTGATTCCTGTAGAGGAAGAGGTCCTAAATCCTTTCTCAGCATCTCTTGTGTATTTATCAATATGTATAAGAATACACCTGAATGCTTTTTATGTGTCATTTTTACAATCCTTTCCAAGCATGCTAGAAGTATCAAACAGCCACCATCACTTGTGGATTTTTTTCCCATCAGAGACCCCCACCATGAAAGTTAATAGAGAGTGATTGGACAGATTGTGAATCAGGATTTTTAGCTCTTAAGGTATGTTTGTATTTGAATCTTTTGCTGTGTTTTAACATACATTCATTATGTGGTGAAACATGACTGTAGATGGGTGTGGGGTGGGGAGAGGATTCTTGGCAACCTTTTGGCTAAATATGATGGAAGAATTTTTGAGGACTATTAAGGGCAGTTGTGATGGCTTCTGTTTCCTGATGATTGTGAGTTTGAGTAAGGTTATCAGCTTCGAACAGGGCTGGACTGTAACCTTACAATCCAGCCTAAGAAAGAGACCCTACCAGGAGAAGGGTCGGAACCAAATCAGGACTCAGTCAGTCAAGCCTGGTCTTTTGCTCTAGAGTAGAAGTGATCTGACTGCAAAGGCTCTGGCAATGCAGAGTATGGGGGCTCCTTATGTTCCCTTATTCTCCTGCATGGGTGCACAGTAGTACCTTAATTCTGTGATTCTCCAGCAGTCCTAATGATTCAGTTGAAATCAGTGGGAGCACTGGAGGAGTATAGTACTCCTCCACGTGAGCCCTACTATGAGCTGCTGGCCCTGTGCACATTATGGTAATAGTATAAAGCAGTCAGCTGATTCAGAATTGATGTATAGTGTTTCTCTTAGGTTTTATAAAAATATTTTTTAGCAGATGGACAAGTGGGAAGCAAACAAATAAAGCTTGTGGAGGGAAAAGGTGGTGAAATGAGACCACAACATTACAGATCCAGCAACTCAGTGCTTAAATTGCAGTCGTCATTCAACATAACCAAACCAATACCAAAGCCCACTGAATCCTTATGACTCGAATAGACCCACAAAGGCAAATTCCAGCCAGCAGTCCCTTTCCCCGGAAGGCCCATGCTCTTGAAAATTACAAATAGGAACAAAAAGACTACAAATGGAGAACACGTGTTTTATTTGTTTCTTTGAGAAATGCAGGCTTTAAAATCTGCTAGCCTTGAAAAAGACAAGGAGTGCATACAATGTGCATATGTTTTTTCTAACAAAAATATATATAGGTCTTATGTAAATAGCCTATCGAGGGAGCATACCAGGCATAGGGCATACTGAGCTGAACAGCTACTTGCTGTCTGAAATGGAGACAAACAACATTAGAAGGGAAAAGTGATGCTGTATGTTGGTAGCTCTGGCTGCCTTTCCTGGCAGTATTGTATACAAATATATTATCTGCCCAAATATAATATATGATTAAATATAAATGGATCAACCTTTCATTTACAATATATTTATTAAATCAATTTTTGAATAAGAGTACTTTTATGAGTTAAAATATTTTAACAGAAAGTTAAGGGCCCCAATCTGCCACTGAATTAATTGCTATTAGGATTGGGCTGAAAATCAATTTGTCTGTCATTATTCTTTGTACTAAAATGTCTTCATTAAATAGATATATCTGCAGCTCTCTCTGTTTCTTGGGAGTAAAACTTTTCCTTCTCTGGGTGGCTGTGATAGAAGATTATTGTTTCTCAGAGACTGTTAATTGCCACATGGGTTAAGGAATGGTCAGAATCCTACGGTTCTTGTACACTTTTAAAAGGGTCCTGAAAAAGATGGCGGTGGACTTAAGATTGCATGGGGTAAATACATATTTTAGCCAGTATTCTGTGCTTTTGCTGCTGAAAGAATGAAACTGTATCAAGTAAACCTTTTTTTATATTGTTAAACATACATGACAGCATGGCTCAGTTAGTAGCAATCTGGTTTAGCAGGATTTAGATTAAATCCTACAACAAGTAGAATCTGGACTCCTAAGCAGTGCTGATAGAGCTGCACAACAACAGGGAGAGTGCTGTACCGTCCCTCAGATGAACTGTTAAGCCAGGGTCCTGTCTAGTAGGCGCTCAAGTGATGATCCCATGGCACAAGAGTACAGGATAACCTGTGACCTGGCCTACATTTCTCTTCCAGGCAAATACATTCTAATGTCCAAGGCTATGTGGAAAATATTGCTGAAAGTATATTGGATGTTGTGTTTCCTTTCATAGTTACTACACTAACTGTTTTCCCCATTGAGCCTGCACCTCATGGAGTATGCTGAGTACAAAAGGTGCTATTCTACATGGAGAAAGAGTCTTCCAGTCAGAACAGCAGTGACAATAATGCTAATCCTTGCTGTGGACCATTCATGACCACTGTGGTTTTAGCATCTTGTTCTTCCCCATAGAGAGATAAAGAAGCCAGACTCCTAGTCAAAAACAACCCATCGAACAACTGACCCATAAGGATAAAGAAATCACAATTCCCGAAGCATTGGAAGAACAAGTTCTTGTTGTTGTTACAGGTCTGTAGAGTCAGTGTCATTGCTAATTTTAGCACTGTTTGTGTGTGGGGAGTTTGCACTTTCAGGCCCTTGGAGAGAGAAGAATTGGCAAATGATTGTATATAAAGTGGAAAGCACAAGGGAGTTTTATCACAAGGCTAGATTTAGACAGGAGCAAAGGAGGTAAGATGTGCTAGTTAAAATCCATGGGGAAGCACCTGCCCAGTAAACATGAGTTTAAATGATCCCTATCTAAGAAGTGTTGTTATAAGGGATAGTGGCCCAACAGAATTGAGATGCTATATTTGATTGCCATCTTTCTGATCCATGTGAAGAAAGTCCTTATTTTTTTCCATAGAGTATTGTGTGTTTATATAGAGAGACGTTAAAAGGACATTCCCAGCATATTGTTTCATAATTTTAGATATTTTTTTCTTACTGTTCCAGTTGATCTCTTGGAATCTTGCTCTCCTATTTCAGTGCTCATATTTTCCTTTAATTTTGTATGCACACTAGTTGGTCATTTAGGATAACTCCAGAGTACAGAGCTGTGCATGCTGATTTATTATTGCAGTGTGGGGCCTTGGCATTCTCTTCCCTTTCCCTTCTCCCCTGCCCCCGTATCCTTGGGAGAAAAGTATTGGGAGTTTTAGCGTGTTTCTGGAGATGACAGATAAAGCTACATGGAGATGACAGAGAGGTCCAAGTTCAGAACAACCTTATCACTGTTAGCAATGTCCACTTAATTCACTAACATTAAATAGGATTTTAATTACTGAGTGACATTAGGAAAGCTGAAAGAAATGAACCTAATTTTAGGGAATGCAGTTCCTGCAAAGGAAGGGCAGGGACACAGAGGCAGTGTGTCTTCTGAATATGACTCATGCTGCTTGATTCATGCAAAGAACTTTACCTCTTATTTTCTTTCATTCTGAATGAGCTGCCTCTTTCTGATAATTGGAATGCACTATTCACTCTTTGTTTGATTCTTAATGTCTGAAAGTAATAGCCCCAGTATATGATGCACATTGGCCTTATAGCAGGAACGCTTGTCTATTTCCAAAATTGCATTTTGCAAATGTGCTATTCCAAGTGGAAAAAACACCATTTAAGATTTTCCTTCTTGAATGGGATGGATGTCTGGGGATTTTCACACCACTATTCATTTTCCTTATGTGCCCTGTGGGCTCTTTGAGCCTGCACCACAAATTAACTTTGAGTTCAAGTCGCTTATCAGGCGAAGAATCTCCTCTAACAATAGAAGGGAAGATAACTCAGCAAATACATCTTTCAGAAAATATTCTTGTATGTTTTTGGTTTTTTGGCTGTCATTATAGTAGCTTTTATCATTTGGATTAAGTCTTTTCAGGAGGAGCCGAGTCTCTCCTGAGAGCAACTAGGCTTCTGTGGTCTAGATTTTATTTAGGACATGTGCTCCATATTCTGATAGAAACCAAACTTCTCAACACATGTTGCTTGCAGTCTTCAGGGGGCAGGAGTGTTCTAAGCCTACTGGATATTTTATGACTGTCAGTTCACAAATGAGTCAAATGATACTGCCCTAGATGCTGAAAATGTTTGTTTGATACATGTGGAGTACATTGCAGAGCAGAGTGGGCAGGTGGGAGTTCTCTTCCCCACAAAGCACACGCATATTTTGCCAAACAAAAGGTGCTTTGTGAGCCATGCAGCTCTTTCCTCCTGCCTGTTGCTTCTGTCTCATTGAATGCTAGGAATCCTGCTGTGCATTTCTACATCTGTAAACTGGTGTGCATTCTCTGTGCTTTCTGGAGAGGTGGTGATTGGGGAGATCACGTGCTTCAGGCGTAAGAGCATGGTGAAGAGTAGTATGAGAAGGATGGCCAGGAGCGTTAGGAACAAGCCAACGTACATGTACAGGTTGGCATATTTATCTGCTGTCGTGTTTACTTCTGTAGCCAGGGTTGGCAAGTGGACACGGCCAGTAAGATTTCCACGGTATTTAAAATAAATCTCAGTCATTGCTCACTCTCAGGTTTTGTCCATTTTCTCTATTCACCCTTAAAATGTTGCCTTCCTTCACCCATTTCATGAAGAAAATCCAGAAAGGGGGTTTACACCTGAAAGTGGATGCTGACCAGAGTTCTGTAGTGAAAGCACAATTGTGTTGGTTGTGAGATCTTCACCCCACTTGGTTAAGCAAACTGCTCTACAGGAGCCTTTGGAAGTCATTTCTCACATGCCCCATTAGAGATCGATTTTTGTTGTTATAACTTCTTATGCTGTCAGAGTTTTAATTTGCCCAAATCTCTTTAGTCCTCTTCTGGAACTAACAGATCTGAGTTGCTGCCGGGCTTAGCTCTATACAGGCTTTCCTTTTTGAACAAAGGAAGTGAACTTTCTGCCAACCTATCACGTTGCAGATGATTTATTCCTGGGTGACCTGGCAAGCTTGTTTTATCTCTTGCTAATATGGTTGATGATCTCCACTCTCCAAAGTTATGGATGTCAGTGATTAGGTGAAGGAGAGTTTGGAAAAAATGGGGTCTTTTCCACTTTCCACATTGAACTGATTCTGTAATTAGGGTCAGTCAAAACCGCTTCCTTTCTAAAAGGGAAAGAGATAACAAAAAGAATTAGTAAACCCAGTTTGTACTGTACTCTCACCATACCAACCTGACAGATAAAGGATAATATGAAATTGGTATCTGATCTGATCGCTATTAGAGCATTGCATTTCCAGGGGTATGAACTGAATTCGCGGACATGTTGCTGTGAGCCATTTGGTAATCCGGAAGAGCATTATGTGTTTACAAAGGTTCTTTATACCTTTAGAGGAAGGGTACTGTTACTCTGCATAATTCACTATTGTTTCCTATTCTAGTATTCTGTGTTTGTGGGTTAGGGAAACACCCACTGATTATACAGATGTGGGCCATTAAAACTAATGGAGGAAAAGATATGAACCCCACTGCCTTCCTACACATAAAGCTCTGCATGTGTCATCTCAGCTATAACTTGAGAAGCATACTGCTGGCACAGAGTGTCCTATGAGCAGCTGAAGCTCTGCCAGTGTGGACTGGGTCCTGTGTACAAGTGCCCACTTACCTCCCACAAGCAAAGCTGGTCAGAAAAGGGATTCCCATCCCATGGGAAATTCTGACATTTCAAAAACTGATCTCATTCCAGATTGTAACAATGAAAAATTTCCCATGCAACAGAAAGTCCAAAAATATTTCTCTTAGGAAACCTCAACATGTTTTGTTCTGATAAGGTAAAAACATTTTGTTAATGCTGAAACATAATGTAAAATATCTAATATGCACACATTAAATATTAAAATGTTAACTCACATGATTAACTTAAAAAATTAATTGTGATTACAAAAATTAATCATGATTAATAGCAGTTTTAATCCCACTGTTAACCAATAGAATACCAATTGAAATTTGTTAAATATTTTGGATGTTTTTCTACATTTTCATATATATATTGTATTCTGTGTTGTAATTGAAATCAAAGTGTATATTATTTTGTATTATAAATATTTGCACTGTAAAAATGATAAACAAAAGAAATAGTATTTTTCAATTCACCTCATACAAGTAATGTAGTGCAATCTTTGTCGTGAAAGTGCCACCGTTCCAGAGGACATGCTTCCATGCTGATGACACAAGTTAAAAAAATAAGGCATGAATTAAATTTGTGACTGAACTCCTTGGGGGAGAATTGTATGTCCCCTGCTCTGTTTTACCCTCATTCTGCCATATATTTCATGTTCTAGCAGCCTCTGATGATGACCCAGCACATCTTGTACATTTTAAGAACACTTTCACTGCAGATTTACAAAACGCAAAAAAGGTACCAATGTGAGATTTCTGAAGATAGCTACAGAACTTGACCCAAGGTTTAAGAATCTGAAGTGCCTTCCAAAATCTGAGAGGGATGAGGTATGGAAGAGTAACACTCCGATATGGAAACTACAGAACCCAAACTACCGAAAAAGAAAATCAACCTGCTGGTGGCATCTGACTCAGATAATGAAAATGAACATGTTCGTCCACACTGCTTTGGATTGTTATCGAGCAGAACCCGTCATCAGCATGGACTCATGTTTCCTGGAATGGTGGTTGAAGCATGAAGGGACAAATGAATCTTTAGAGCATCTGGCACGTAAATATCTTGTGACGCCAGCTACAACGGTGCCATGAGAACGCCTGTTCTCACTTTCTGGTGACATTGTAAACAAGAAGAGGACAGCATTATCTCCTGCAAATGTAAACAAACTTGTTTGTCTGAGCGATTGGCTGACCAAGAAGTAGGACTGAGTGGATTTGCAGGTTCTAAAATTTTACATTGTTTTATTTTTGAATGTAGGTTTTTTTGGTACATAATTCTACATTTGTAAATTCAACTTTCATGATAAAGAAATTGCACTACAGTACTTGTATTAGGTGAATTGAAAAATACTATTTGTTTTTTTACAGTGCAAATACTTGTAATCAAAAATAAATATAAAGTGAACACTGTACACTTTGTATTCTGTGTTGTAATTGAAATCAATATATTTGAAAATGTAGAAAATATCCAAATATATTTAAATAAATGGTATACTATTGTTTAACAGTGCGATTAATCGTGATTAATTTTTTTAATCACACGATTAATCACAATTAATTTTTTAATTGCTTGACAGCCGTAATTTCAACATTATTGAAACAAAACAAAGTGAAACATCTTAATTTTGATATAAATGCATTTTCAGAGGGAAAACAGTTCTGTCTTTTTTTCTTAACCAGTTCTTCCCACAAGTCAGTGCCACATTCCTCTCTGGAGGGAAAAAGGCTAGCTCTAATTCTCTGTGGGTCCAGGACCGGCTTCAGGCACCAGCGTTCCAAGCAGGTGCTTGGGGCGGCAATCTACAAGGGGCGGCAGTCCGTGTGCTCGCGGCGGTAAATCGGCGGTAGCTTCTATGTTCAGCCGTCCACGGCGGCAGTTTGGCATCAGCTTCTATCTTCAGCCACTCGCTGTGGCGGCAATTTGGCACACTGCTTGGGGCAGCAAAAACGGTAGAGCTGGCCCTGTGTGGGTCCCATCAGTACTACCACTTAGCTGGCTTGGGTGTTACTGAAGGGCTGAACACAGTGTCTCCACACCACTCCCAGCGTTTGCTAGGATCCCCCTTGGTTTCAAACAGTTTAAAAACAGATAAAAGGATAACTTAAGGAATAAATGGGCCAGATCCTGCTGGATGATAGAATGGTCAAAATGGGCTGTACTGCTGGCTTAAACAGTCAGCTGGGGATTCCCCTAGAATAATTCCTGAGTTGGTTATCTGGCTGTGTTCCACCCACTGGGGTGTAGAGGCAGGAGGGGGCATGGTTAGAGTGTGCTGCTATGAGTTCTGTCAGGCCCTGAGCCAGCCCCTAACCTAAACCAGCCCCCATCGGGCCTCATGATCTGGGGGAAGGAAAAGTCGAATAAAGCCATTTGTCCAGCACACCTGGGAGTTTGATTGTTCTAGGGCTATTTGCAATGCGCAGCGTCGTGATGGTTACTGCAGAATAGTGCAAATCCCTGGGGACTAAGCATGCAACATCCCCAGCAAGTTGCATTTCTGTGGGGCTGGCATGTGAAGGAACGGCACTAGGAATGAAAGGTGGGATTTTCAAAAAGCACCTAAAAGACTTAAGTCCCTTTAAAAGTCAATGAACTTGAGCATCTAAGTCTCCTAGGTGCTCTTGAAAATCTCCCTTGAAATTCTCTCATGACGCAACCATTGGGCTGTCAGGATAGCAAAAGCTTGTTTTGCCCAAGCAGCTAAAATAATTAATTTGCATTGTAGACTATCCCTTTTTATGCCAAATGAATTTCTCATGGCCAAGTTACAAACTTTCCAAGAAATCAAAGGTTTATAGGAAATGCTGAGAAATGCTCACTTACATTGGCACAGACAGCACTGTTATAATAAATGCAATTTTAAATCAAGGGTGGTTTATGAGCACATAATTGTAGGCCTTCCTGACGGCAGAGGATAAAATAAAACGGTATGTTTTTTCAAAGTGTTTGTTTGGATTGTCCTTTCGCAGCTTAGAAAAATACTATTTCTGAAAGTTTCAAACAGGCTTTATTATTCCTTTTTCTCTACCCCAACCATCTTCTATCGATCTCTCCAGACTTCCCAGACGGCTTCAGCAAAAAAAGTGCCACTGAAAACAAACAAACCCCTTGGACTTCTGCAGCCTGTGAGCCCTGCGTTTGAGTCTGGTTTTACGTAGCCTTTGGCACATATTATTTTAATTGAATTAAGGGCATAAGGATGACATTTAAACTTCAGCAGCAGTCCATGGGCCAGATGTGCTACACCAGTGTATATCCAGAGTAACGCCTTCAGTTTAGGTTTACACCTATGCAAATGATACCCTACACCTCCAATTTTGAAATCCCTTTTGAAAGCAGGAGATCTTGTGATATTTTGGTGGATTCCCAGCTTTTTTCTCTCTTGAGGTTTCTTCCATTCTTATTACTTATTAACCTGTCCAGGCAGACTGGGGCAAAGCTCTTGTTGATGCAAGTCCCCTGGAATTAGTGCAGTTGCACCAGAGATAAATCTGGCCCATTCCATGTTTTTTAAATACTTCAGCACTCCTGGAAAACCAGAATGTAAAGAACAAGGCCTAGATTTCAAAAGTGGCTAGTGATATTGGGTGCCTTGGTTTTGGAGCCCAAAATGATGCCCTAGAGGGGCCTGGCTTCCAGAGGGCAGGTGCTCAGCACTTTCTGAATATCAGATCGCTTTATGTTGTCTCAAATTGAACACCTAAAATTTGAAGCAGCCAAAATCACTTCTGACTTTGGAAATGTGTTTTCATAAGCCTATGTATAAAATACTATATAAAGGCTTGTGAGGCCCACATTTCTAATGATTTTGGCTGCCTCATATATAAAATGTAAAACATAATATGGGTGCCTTTCTCTGAAACAAAGTGGTTAGTAACACAGCTCACGTGTTATTAAAGAACTTAGTACTTTTCCATTCTTAATCTGATGCATGTCTATTTATCCTTCATATGAAAAACAGAAAGACAGGAGACTTCTGGGAGGTGATAGTACAAATGAATTCATATCCAGTATGGGGTGAAGTTCACATTGGTGGAGACTGCCAGCAGAAGCACCCTGGACTATGTGAGCCCCATGCTGGAAACACTCCCCTGTGTGTCACAGGGTCTCAGTGCTGTCCCCACATAGGCCAGCATGGAGAGCAGGGGCGGGGCCAAGAATCCGTGTTCCCAAGGATGCTGGCATCTTACCACGCTAAGTGGCATTGGTGTGGTGATAGTGGGGGCTGCCACTGCTATTTCAGCACACAGGCTGCAGCAGAGGACTTGAAGAATGAGGCTGTGCTACAGCCCTGGACTTTGGCTCTGAGTGGGTGGGGGCAGTAAATTTCACTCCCATAATTCCCACACTTTGCCTGAATAAAGCATGAACTTTCTCCGTGAAGAACAGACTCACTGTTTGTAGCTAGTAGGAAACACAGGATATGGCGGGAGCTTGTTTAATTACACCTACTTTAATACTATATGATTTCTCCACCACTGCCGAACTGCAACCAATGTGTAGTCTGACATGCTATGAGTAAAGTGCAGAACATTGTCCTTACCCCATGTCTGTAGCTGTCTCAGCTGGTAGAGAAAACTGAAATCTGCGTCTCCCTAAAGACCAGAGTGGCTAATGGCTTGACATACTTCTGAAAATTAGACTGTATAATGCTAAGCACATTAGGAGTTCAAGTGCAACAATTAATTCCAAGCCAAGAGTTTGAATTAATAGAAGTAAGAGATTAATAGTGGAGATTTAGCATGGATTTTTATTACTTGTCGTCTGATTGATATAGAATTGCAGGTAACATCTGGAGACTTCAGCTTCATTTGGACTGTTGAAAGTAGAGAAATTACCTATATCTTTTCCAGAAAGGAAGCAGTTACCAAGATCAGCCAAAGAGCATTTCAATGCAAAATATAAGAATTTGAAATGACTAGCAGGTATTTCAATGTGCAGATCTTTTTGGATACTTGCTTTAGTTTTACAAAGACTGTTATTAGCAGAAAAGGCTCAGGAGCAGAATTTCAATGTATTTTCTGTAGCCGTTTCATCCCACTAGCTAGCCGTGGCAGCTGGGTTGTTTAACAGCAGGTAAGCAAATCTGATATGCAAAGAGGCTGCACAAAGCCAATTTCCAAAGCAGGTTAAGATCTGAACTGTCTGATTCAGAACCGAGTAGGCGAAGACCTCCCTGCCCTGTTTTGGGAGCCTCCAAATTAATCGTCAGACTAACAGACATTTATTAAAGTGCAGTGCACCAGAAGTAAAAACCAAATTCCCTAAAAGATCTAAGTTCTTGATCAATATTTGTTAATTCAGAACAGGATCTGACCTACTTGGAAAATATGGTCCAATCCTGGGAGCTGCTCACGCCCTCGGCTCCTCATTGATGTTAGTGGATGAGGCCCTTTGAGTCCAAACAGATAGTTCTGTCATAACAATTCTGTAATTACTTTTGAGAAATTATTTAAATTAGACAAGTTCTGTAGTTTAATAAAAAAAAATCAATAATGGAAATGGAGGCTTAAAACAAACTAACATCAGAGCACTTTCCCTCGCCATACGTAACAGACATACAGAGGGCCAAGGTGCTGAAGTCATTCACCTCCCAATGAAGCCAATATTTGCTGAGGGATCTCAGCACGCTCAGGATTTAGTCTGTTTTTAATGACCCAGACCTGACCCACCCCATGTCTTGCTTCTATAGCAAAGGAAGAGAAATAATGATTTTCAAACCCTGCAACACAATAAGTATGGCCAGGATAAAACCAATGCATAGCTAGATAACTGCAGTAAATGCTCTTATCTTAGATAGATGCTTCCATTCCTTTGATGAAGTGAGCTGTAGCTCACGAAAGCTCATGCTCAAATAAATTGGTTAGTCTCTAAGGTGCCACAAGTACTCCTTTCCATTCCTTTGCTTTCTTTCCACTATCAGTTTAAGTTTTAATAGGTAGCAAAGGATCCTTGAAACTGAGGACAACAATTGTGAGCTGTTTTTGCTGTTCCATCCAGTACTAAAACTATCACAGAGAAATGAGAACAGGATTGAACAGGACAATTATTACAGTAAGAGGCGCAGTTTGAAACCACCAACGTGGGCTTTCCTAAGCTAGTAGTTCAGTCCTCCTTTGCCTGGCTGGCAGAAGCAGAAAGACCCTGGTACAGAGCACAGTGTGCTTTATAAGTTACACTTTAAAAAAATGTTGAATAAACACAAAAAAGCATTGAAATGCCATTTCCATCAGTTTCTTGCATTTTCCCCAGTGGGAATTTGGGGGCAAGGGTCTCTTCTTTCGTTGGCAGATGGTATACTTTTGTTTTGACGCCAAAGCGTAAACTAATGTGTCTAAGCCTCAGCTATGCCAGCATATAGGAAAATAGTCAAGAATTTAAAGAGCATAATTACCTTTCCTAGCAAGCAGGATTGGTGGGAAGCATCTGGTTCAGACCTTGGACTTGCTGAGAATTTGTCTAGGAACATCTCCCCCCACTAGCTGGGTCTTCGGAAGAAATATTTGCTGTCTTACTGCTGGAGCTAGAATATCTTCTTTCGAACAAGCATGTGGAGTGCACTTTCTCCTTCTCTGCTCTTGAAGTAAATGTTTTGCTGCGTGACAGGCAGGGGCGACTCTTATTCCAGCTCTTGAGATGCCAGCCGACAGACTGATTTAACCGCATAAATGCTGATATTCTTCCTTCATTCAGCAAGGGAGGGTGGGGAGAGTCTTCTGTTCATGTGCCTGAACGCTTGAATGGAAACAGCCTTAGCCAGACCGTTCCCTCCTTCAGCTGCTGTAGGCAGTTGTTAGATTGTAGAAGGAAAGGTAGCTCTCCAGCACTGCTGCTACCTCTCCTCAATAAGGAGAGAGGGAGGAGAGACCAAGAGCAAAGAGGCTGCAAGCTACACTGTGAGCAAAGTTTGTGCAAGCCTCTTTTTAACTCTTTAGAGCCCATGGGCTGTAAACCAGTCCTGCTATTTGACCAGGCTGCTAGATATGAACCTTGGAGGAGAGACTGGTTAACTGTGTTTCGTAGGAGAGTACACAAGTTTTTATTTAATGCCCAAAGGTGTTTTTTTTCCTAGAAAAAATCTCCACTGTCTTGTGGAGGAATCTAATGATTCCTTCTGTCTCTAGAATCAGTGTCATTTACAAGATGAGAACATTGTAATCATACCTAAGCATGGCTTCACCTTGTTGTGGATTGGAATGAGAAATGTGATTTCTATGCTTGGTATCTTGTGACTTTCTATTGGCTCTTTTCTCTGATAACAGAGGTAAAGCTATGGTATAATGCTATAGTTAGCACTTACATAGCACCTCTCCTCTGAGGAGCTCAAAGCATTTTACAAACACAAATTAAGCTCCACAGACCCTCTGTGAGGTTAGGTAAGTCTTTTCACTACTTGACAAATGTGGGAATGGAAGCACCGAAAGTTTTAAGTGATTTACCCAAGATTGCACAGTGAGTCAGTGACAGTCAGGACAAGAACTAGAAATCTCAATTCACTGCTCTAGCCAGCAGGCCAGTGTTTCTAAACCCTTTTCAGATTGGTGACCTCTTGTTTAAAGTCAAATCTTTTCAACTCCTTTCATTTACTGTACATGTAAAAATGCATCCATGATAACAATAAGCCTATCTAATTTGTGTGTGTGTGTGTGTGTGTGTGTGTTTCAAAAGGTTGACACAGCATACTTGAGCTTGAAGGGTAAGGGTGTGCAGGGAGTGGGGGAGTGAGATTTGATTGAAATAAAATTTTCAGTGCTTTGCAACCTCCCCCACCATTGACTTTCCTGACCCCAGGGGGATGGTGACACACAAGTTGTGAACGCTTGCACTGGAAAACCATCTCACTCCTCCACACTGCGGAGAGAAGGACTGTACTGGGAGGGGCTGCTTCCTCTGCTTATCAGAGGGGTAAGGATCATAGTTGCTGGAACTAGGGGTGACTGCTGCACCCCCGGCTTGAAGTGGTTTCATTATATACAGGGTTTACAGTTTGGTTCATTGATTCTCAGCATCCTCACTATACAAATTGTTCCAACATCCTGGTAAGGATCAGACTGGGACAAGCCCATGCAGGTGGGAGGTTGTATGGTGGGAAAAGATAAGGTTGTGATAAAGCAGCACTTCTCTCCTATGCTGCTTTGGATCATAGGAGGACTAGGAGAAGGGGCCACATGCTACCCCTCAGCAAGAAGATGAAGAGGTATGGTAGAGCATAAACAGTGAATAAAGCAGGGGGAAATAGAAGCTCTATCTGCCTCACTCTCCAAACAACGGCTACGAAAGTTTTGTGCTAACAATGTTAATTTGGGGAGAGAGAGATTTTCTTACGTTCCCAATGCCCAGGCATCAGTGAGCCATTTCCCTTTAAGAATGTTTTGAAAATTTAGCTTTGCATCTTCAGACTAGTTCCTCGTGGATGGTTGCCCACTTCGAAAAAGCAAGTGCCCACTACTGGCGCCCATGTTGGTAATCTGAGCAGAGTGGCTGAGGGCTGAAGAGGCAGTACACCCTACAAGTGGTCCCTGAGGCACACTGGCAGAGTGGTATGGGGAAATATTTGCTGCCCATGTTATACCCATTCTTCTGAGGGTTTCAGTCTCCAGCTCTGACAAAGAAAAACGTAGCCCTCTGAAAAGCTAAAATTCTCCTACACTTTCTCTGCCGGCCACACCCTCTGAAAGGCAAGCCATATCAAATTACTATTATTTTAATTTAGTTTCCCATTTTCTTTATTGCATTATTATCCAGGCTGTCCAGCGTTGCATCCACATAGCCTGTATCATGGACACTGAGCTCCCTGATAAGCCTGCAGTCAGGAGTGTAAGAAACTGAATCTGGGGGGAGTAAGAATATATGTAATTTATTAAGCTGATTTGTATTATTTTCTTTAAAAATCTTCATATATAAACTATCTGTAAACTTTCAAAATCCTGAACAGACATACCCTTAGAAAGTGTGTGGGCCTAGTTTTAGCCAGGAATGAAATTTTTACAGCCCTGGGAAAATGAGAGTGTATAACTGAAATGCTGAGACACCCTGACTTTAACAGTGCTGGTAAGCATCACTGAAATGAAATGCCTTTTCTCCTCATCAGTGTATCTACTCTTCCCCGCTTGGCTTATTTTCTCTTTGCTGACGTTGCAGTAAATCATCTGTCCCCTTGCAGGACAGCACCAGTGTTTGCTGGACAGACAATCCTATATTTGTCATTTACCTCTGTGGCAGGGTGTCATAAAGACAGATGAATTCTAGACAATGCTGCATTTATTAGCCACAGCTGGGAAATTGCTCAGCTGGCTGAATGACCTCTTCATCTCTGCGGAGCATGTAAGGCTTCCTTCTTCTGTACTTTTGTTGAGCTGACCAATAATAAAATTGTATATTTAAAAAAAAAAAAGACTGTTCAAATCCTATTGGAGAACTAGAGATGGGCCCAGTTACAGCTATTTTTCAAACAGCTGTTCTGAATTTTGGGGCAGAAGCTTGGGGGTCTGGTTAGGCTCTTACTTCTTTCAACGGCAATACTTAACTGTAAAAACTGATGTGCAGTTAAACGGCTTCCTGTGTCAAACCAGTCATTTCATGCGTTCGCCATGGTCCCACTCCAGTCTTGTAATCTTTGTTTGCTCTTTATTAAATCAAAGTTTTAGTATGCTGGTTAGTAGGTGCGTACAGAATGTTCCTGTGTGGGATCTTCCACCATCTGAACTAATATATCCCATGAACAAGGTGAAACATGCTGTACTTTGGATCTTTAACTACTGCTTTCAATGCTGCTGCACTTAATGAAGAAAGAGCACTTGCCCTTCTGGTCCTCCCTCTCATACTCATCTGCTGTACAAGTATTTCAAGGATGTTTTGTTAAAAAGCAATTGAAACCCTCAAATTAAAGGGACCTCCTGTGATCACTAGGTATCTGTGGGTTTTCTGTGCTGGGGACAGTGTGGGCTGGTGGATTGTGACTGTGTGTATCTCTGTTGCTAACAATTGTTTCTTGCAATCAACAGAATTTCAGAATTTGGGGCACTTGCATACTTGCAGTTGCAACCATATGAAATACTAGGGGATAGGGGTTGAGATTAAGTCCTAACTGAGGGTGTTTTGGATGGCCTGTGATTTTTCTGAGTCGGAGAAATGTCTGAAGCTTGTTCTGTGTTTAGGCATATTGATGATGCTAGTCCAGTGCAGCCACACATTATTTGGAGGATCACAGGCTGTACCAGCTCATTGTTTCTTTTCCCAGGTATTGGTAATCTGGTAACCTCTATTGCTCCTCTCACTCCTCACAGCTTTCCTTCTATGCGTAAGCAGCAAATCTGCCAGTCCTTGCAAGTCAGTGGGAATTTTGCTGAGTAAAGACCACAAGATTTGGTCCCAGGATGTGGATAAATTGGAGAGAGTCCAGCGAAGGGCAACAAAAATGATTAGGGGTCTGGAACACATGACTTATGAGGAGAGGCTGAGGGAACTGGGATTGTTTAGTCTGCAGAAGAGAAGAATGAGGGAGGATTTGATAGCTGCTTTCAGCTACCTGAGAGGTGGTTCCAAAGAGGATGGTTCTAGACTATTCTCAGTGGTAGAAGATGACAGGACAAGGAGTAATGGTCTCAAGTTGCAGTGGGGGAGGTTTAGTTTGAATATTAGGGAAAACTGTTTCACTAGGAGGGTGGTGAAACATTGGAATGTGTAAACCTAGGGAGGTGGTAGAATCTCCTTCCTTAGAAGTTTTTAAGGTCAGGCTTGACAGAACTCTGGCTGGGATGATTTAATTGGGGATTGGTCCTGCTTTGAGCAGGGAGTTGGACTAGATGACCTTCAGGGGTCCCTTCCAACCCTGATATTCTATGATTCTATGATTCAGGAGTAGAAATTAGTTGGCTATCTCTTGAAAATCTGGCTGACTGGTTTTAAGCGGATGTGTTAAAGGTTTATGGTGCGTTCATTGTAGAACTCCATCTTTCCCAGCAGAGCACTCTTAAAAAATTATGCCAGACGGATTGTTGTCAGCTAGCCCAATGAACTGATATTATTATTATTATTATTATTATTTTATTATTGTTGCCACATGTAATTAATGCTACCTAGCACTTCTACATCTTCAAAACACTTATAAACATTCACCTAACCCTCCTATTTCCCCACTGGTACTTCACAGGGGTGCGGTGTGTGGGCTGCCTGGTTTCCTATTAACAGCCTTTGGCTCAGCTAGTGGCTGTTCAGGTCAGTAGTGGGTACATTTCAGAACTGAACACTCTTTATTTTAAAGGAACACTCTTTATTTTAAAGTAACAAGCAGGTAGGGAGAGAATTTAAAATGACATAACATACATTCCATCCCTCCAGTTGGCTGCAACAGATTTTGTAGCGAGTGCTTCGGCAAAATTTCCATCCAGATGCTAGGGGTGGTCATCATTATTTTATTTGAGATACTCTCTCAGCACTGTACTGAGAAAGTCCATTTTAAAATAAAACTAATCAAACATCTTGCACTCCTGAACACAATGACATGCAGCTGCCTTACTTGCTTTCCATGAAAAAACGAAGGATTGGAGACCATACTTCTTGGACTTTGGAGTATTCACTTGTCGTTTGGGTTCTCAGGTTCAAAGTCAATGCTGTAGAAGCTGGCATTGCGAACACTGATTTCAGTGGAGAGGCAGCATTGACCACTGGATAAGGCTCTAGACTGGGAACTGATCTGAGCTCTTACAGACTCTGCCAGTTGACCACTGGGTGACCTCTCTGTCTCAGTTTCCATCTATGTAAAATGGGATGGGGGTATTGATACTTACCCACCTTTGTAAAACAGTTTGACAGCTATGGATGTAAAGCACTAAATAGATATGCCAGGGGAATTATGCCCACTTT